CAGAAGTGAGGGGAAGGCTGTGTCATTAGAAAGCTACTGAACTGAAACAAGAACGTCTGCTCCTGCCGGCTGTCAGCGGGAGATGCTAGCTGCCACGCATAACCACGTGCAGGGTGGTGGGTCACCCCAGGCCCCAGCAGGGTCGGGCACTTACCACAGCAGAGATGTTCTCGTGGTAATGCTTATAGGTGAAGCCTTCTTGCATGGTGATGGTGGCCAGGGCTTCCAGGACCGAGGCACTGAGGTAAAAGAAGGCGGCCACACAGTGGTAGGCGGCATCCTGCAGGGCCAAAAGAGGCATCAGAGATGGGGAGGAACAGCTGTTGCCAGGCTGCCATGTGGAGACGGGGTGGGTGGGCAGCTGTGGCCCTGCCCCCACGCTGCATGGCTTAGGCCCTTCCCTCGTCTTCCTCGACTTCCTTTGAGCCCTACTCCCTGAGGTCCCTCTGCCTGAGAGGAGCACAGGGTCTTCCTCCACAGAGAGCTGGCTAACAAGTGCGGTGGGGCTAGGTTTACAGGAGCCCTGGTGGTGCGGTGGCAAGGCATGAAGCTGCGAACCATAAGGTTGGTGGTTCAAACCTATCAGCCGCTCCATGGGAAAAAGAGGAGGCCATCGGCTGCCCTGAATATTGGCAGGCTTGGAAGCCCTACAGAGCAGTTCTACCTGATCCTCTGTGAGTAGGAATTCACTTGATGACAGCAGGCTTTTGCTTGGTGGCAAAGTCAGGACTTGGATGGCGAAGGGATGCCGCTACCTCTCAAAGGGGGATCGAGTCAGGGGTGGGAGTGGGAGGATGCAGGTGAAACAGGCCTGAGTCTGAGCCCGAGATGGGTCATACATGCTCACAGGCCCGGCTGGGATGCGGCGGGCCGATCAACCTGTGTGGGGTGAGAGAGACCCACGCCCCTCCATTGTTTGGCTGTGTTTGTTTTATTTTATTTCTGGGCTCCGAGAACTAAAACAGGGTCTGTTTTTGCTGTTCTAATTTTGAGGGGATTTCTAAAGTCTCAGTCTCTGAGCTTCTGAGAGGGCAAGGCCGGCCAGCGGCCCCCCACCCTTCCGTGGTAGGTAGCACGCAGGTGTCTCATACCTGCTGCTGAGGGAGTCCATGGCGTCTTGGAGGACCCCACGTGTCGCAGAGCCGAACTGTTCTACAGGGGGCTCCTGGCTGTTATCTTAGTGGAAAGATGTCGCCGCCGGCCCTTTGTGGGGCAGGTGTAGCAGCGGATCGCAAGCTCCTTATGCCATGGTTGGCTTTCCCCTTTTCATGGACCCCCAAAGCAGAATTTATATGGAATAAAGACCACCAGACAACTCCCCTGCCCCAGTCTCTCTCCAGAAAACCTGCTTTAAAAGTTAGAGGCTCAGGGGGTGGGTGGTACGTGTGGCCTCACCACAGAAGAGCGAAGGCCAGTCCTCCCGAGCTGTCTAGAGGGGTCTGGCTCCACCCTCTAAGACGGAGTTCCCCTAAGACAGCACCAGCCCTCGTGGGTGACAGGAGGTGCCCAGGGGCACCTGGTGGGGGCAGGTGGTAGGCGGGGAGGCTGGGATGCTGGTTTTCCACTCAGAAGGGCAGTCATGCAGGAGAAAGCAGGACAGGTTCAGCAAGCATCACACAGTCAACCGAAACCACCCTTGACCCTTCCCTGTGGTTTCCGTGCTGCAGCAAACTCTGGGTTGCTGGAGACAGCTCTGAACTGAAGGCTTGGATCTGCTTAGCCTTAGAATGTAGGTGAGGGTATAGCCGCCCCAAGTATGGGGAAAGCAAGCTTCCAGGGAGAGAGAGCAATACTACAAGCCCCCTTACCCACTACCCACCAAGCTTGGGACTCACCAGAGTGATCCAAGAAGTCTCCCCACCGTGGGCGCCAATCATGTACAGGATGAGCAGAGCCGTGGTGGCCACGAAGCAGAACACAGACACGAACATCACCCAGCCCTGGATCAGGGGGATGGGCACTAAGGAAGAGGCAATCAGGATCCATACCAGGCCACCGAAGATCTGCAGAGACGGAGGTGGAGGGTGAGTGCCGGGCTCAGAGACAAGCACAAGCTTGGAGTGGCTGCAGACCAGGCACCACAGCAGGTCCCTAGCGATGCTGACAAATGGAAAACTGGAGCGGGGCAGAGAGTGGTGGCGGATATTTTCCTTAGCAAAATTTACACTTTTATCCCCCACCTCTTTCAGAACCCTAGGCTGGAGCTCCAATCTCAGCCTTTCAATGATCTGGTTTCTTGTTTTCATTCACTAAAACACACACACACACACACACACACACACTCTCTCTCTCTCTCTCTCTCTTTGTATCTAGCAGGACTTCAAGTGGCTTGGGCTGGTTTGGTCATGGCCTCCAGAGCAAAATTGGAAGAGACCTGAATCTGTCCATTGTGGACATATTGGAATGATAACCAGGACAAGAAAATATGATATTGTCAACATTGGAATGGGAGACTAAGAAGAGCTATAGTCAGACCTTTCAGTAGCCTGATGTGGGAAACTGGATTTTTGTCAGGACTCCAGAGAGCGACATATATTCAAAGCGATGAGCCTCCATCTCTGAGCTGGGCACCACGGTCTCTGACTCTGCCCATCAAGAGATCTGGTTGCTCTGCGGCACACACACTGCCTTGTGTTCCAGGAGGGAGGTTCAAGTCTAGCATGGAGCTTTCTCCCACTCCAGTTTACCCACATTTTATAAAACGGGGTCTGTTCCATTTCACGTTGACATCCCTGATGGAACGGGGAAGAATCAGTCTGAAGCCCTGGTATCTATGTGTCCATCCACCTGTCAAATAGCTCTAAGTGGCTTCATATCACTTCTCTTATGCTCGGCATTGTCCTAAACATATTACCTCAGTCCATCCACACCACAACCCTGCAAGAGAGGGATTGCGATTACCCCCATTTGTCAGACGAGAAATCGAGGCACATGCAAGTTAAGTGACTTGTCATCCCATGGAAGTCTTAGGTCATCCAGTATTATCATGGGAAGAGCTATCCTTAATTCTAAGATCATACTTTTTTATCTACCCAAATATCTTTTCTCTTAGGCATGGGAAGCAATCCCAAGGAGAAAGCCCGAGACCAAAGGTTCTGGAGGGACTTGGGGGGAGGAGGAGGCAGGGGAAGGGAGCAGGGAGCAAGCAACACCACAGACAGGGGAACAACTAGGGAATTAAAATCAACAATGAGGAGGATGTCGAGATTCCACTGGTGCTGGAGCAACAGCAGTTACCTGAGAGGAATTACTAAGAGGCAGAAGAAGGGCGAGTGTGATGGTGGGACAGGAGAAAGGTAAAAGGAAACAGGAAAGATCTAGGAAGCAAAGCTATGGATAGAGGTCTAAACATAGGTGTGCACTTATGTAAATATATTAATTCATAAAAATAGAGGTATTGGCCTAGGTGCATATATTTATATGGCAATACATTGAGGAAGTGGACGGATTTTGGGCCTCTGCTCAAGCCTTGCATCAACACAAGAACACTTTGTTCTAACAACCTGGCATTCAATGATGCTCACCCTCCCGGCATAATCGTTGAAGACAAATGGGTGCACAAGGAAATGTGGTGAAGAAAGCCAGTGGTGCCTGCCTATCAAAAGATCTAGCATCTGGGGTCTTAAAGGGTTCACGCAGGCATCTAGCAGAGAAGCAACAAGCCCACATGGAAGAAGCACACCAGCCTGTGTGATCAAGTGTCCAAGGGATCAGGTAACAGGCATCAGAAAACCCAAAACAAATAAAAAAACATATTGTTGAGAACAAGGGGGGTTGGAGCAGAGACCCCAAACCCATCTGTAGACAATAAGACATCCCCACACAGAAGGGTTGCAAGTAAAGGATGAGTCAACCAGGGCGCAGGATAGCACCAATTAAACACACAATATCCCTCTGGTTTGTTGAGGCTTCCTCACCCCCACAATCATGACCCCAATCCTGTCTTTCACTGTGGGCCAGGCCGGAGCATACACACTGGTAAGGTAAGAGACCACGATATACAGAATCCAGGTCAGATGAATCCCTCAGGAACAGAAATGGGGGTAGCAGTACCAGGAGGACTGAGGGAAGGTGGGGAGAGGAAGGGGGGAGAAAGCCTCAGTGGAAGGGAGACAGCAGTCGGTGTAAGATATGAAATTTAAAATAATTTATAATTTACCAAGGGGTCACAAGGGTGGGGGGGGGGGAGGGAGGGGAAAAAGAGGAGCTGATACCAAGGGCTCAAGTAGAAAGCAAATGTTTTGAGAATGATGATGGCCACAAATGTACAAATGTGCTTGACACAATGGATGGATGGATGGATTGTGATAAGACTTATACAAGCCCCCATAAAATGACTTTTTAAAATCAAGAGCATAAGAGCCCACAATAAAATGATCTAAAAAATAAAAAATATCTCATCTCTTCTGAAATGATAACCACCAGATAATGTGGATCTTCACTTGAAAAGAGAAACTTGTCACACTACGTCACGAGTATCCCTAGACTACCAGCCAGTGTCCAACTGACCATTAACTGGAAAGTTGGCAGTTCAAACTCAGCCAAAGGCACTTCAGAAGCCAGGCCTGGTGAATTTCCTCTGTCAAGATTATAGCCAAGCAGGTGGACCAGCTGTCCTTTGTAATACCTGAGGGTCACCATGAACTAGAATTGACTGAATGGCAATGGACTTAAAAAAAATTTTTTTTGATTCCTCCAGGAAGCAGTGGCCTGGCTACCACGGCTGGGGTTGGGGGTGGGGGTGGGGTTTTCCTGTTCAGCCCTGTTTTCTTGAATGACCTGTGTTGGGCATTAACGAGGCAACCCCCATGGTTCTCTAGAAGACACCAGGGTTGATATCCTCAGGGGCCAGTGAGCCCAGTGATTACAAAGAAAAAGCCAGCAACATGCCTCATAACCACACTCACAAACCCCACTGGGGGATTCCGCCCACGGGAACCCACGTCAGGATTTGTTATCCTTCTCTTGACCTTCCTTATCCCAAAAGAGATTCGGTTCAGCCTCAACAACCTGTCCCGAGCCAGACAAAGACCACGCTGTGGGTGAGCTGGGATGCCTGTGGAGCCAGCTTTGCAGTGAAAGGCTCTGAGGAGCCTCCAAGCAGGGCTGCTCCTGGGTCCTCTGTGGGGTGACCACGAGTGGCCGTTGAGTGCTCTGTACCTGATTCTCACACCAGGCTCTTGACTGGTGTTCTCTGAACCACCTGGTGGGAAATCATCAAGAGAGAATCACACTGGAATGAGAGGGGGGAAGAAATGCATGCGACGAAGAACCTGGATTTATCAAAGCCAAGTCAGGCCTAATGAATCAGGTGGCACCTGACACCAGAAGAATCCCTGTATTGAGGACGTTTAGCTAGGCTGGAGGCATGTGACAGGGCGTAGCACTCAGTGTACGTCATTCAAAAACCAAAGGGAAATCAATAAAATCAGACTCAATGGAATGGAAAATGTGGGGCGGCTCTATGAGCAGATTCGCACATTGATTTCATCCACAGTTGCCTTTCCGGCTAAACAGATTCGTAGCCTTCTCCACAAGGGACCAGGACAGAGGGGCAGGCATGCCACTGGACAGGACTTAGCCTTAGAAGGTACCAGAGTACAACATGAAAGGAGAGGAGCACCAGGAACACCATGAAAGGGGTTCATGACCAGCTCATGCGCAGAGATCTTGGCCGGAGACACCACCCTTTCTAAAGTATCCTTTGCCTGGTCACCTCCTGCCCGTCCAAGGTGACCAGTGTAAACTAGGTTTCCCCTGTATTTGCGTTTAGAAAGTCCTACCCATCTCCCTTGGGAGACTTGGCACAAACACATTTAGGTAATGGCTTGTATAATTAGTTACACGATGGTGTTCTTCCTGATGATAGTCGTGGTGGGAGTGAGGTCTGTCTCACTGACTCCAGACTTCCTGTCGTGAGACACAGGGGAGCTCTACGGAGACGTGCACCCGTGTCCAAGAGTTAATTGGCCTTCCGAATCTTATGGAGGAACAGGGTGGCTAGACTTGAGCACCCTCAAGAAGAAGCACGAGTTGTATGTGAGCCGGGAGAACCCTGCGTCAAGGAAGCCCAGGTGAGGCCCAGCGAGCCAGCGGTACTTCTAGACAGACAGTGGACAAGGCACTAGAGACCACAGCGTGCCCCGTGTGAAGGCGACCTCTTCTTCCTTCTATGGTTTCTCTGGGGGAGGGAGAAGGGCCAAGCAAGGGCAGGTGAAGGCCAACCCCCAAAGACCTGGTTTTTATTTTCATGTTAGTGACCGAGTTATTGGAGAGAAATTGGCCGTAAAATGCATCGGAGGCCACCCGTGCCCGGGTGGAAGCTGCACATGGAAAATCTGAGAGGGGGCGCTCAGATCCTGGTTTTGGGAATCATTTCCCATTTTGCCTTCTGCTTGCATTTCCCTGTGTGGCCGGAGATGTGAGTCATGACCGGGGGGAGTCCAGGCTCAGGATTGGCGCTCTGTGTTAGGCGCTCGGTAAACTCCCAGCCCCCGTTCGCTCGCCAGTGAGTCCACCACTTACTGAGGGCAGGGTGTGCAGGCTGCAGGAGCCATCAGGAGGGGTCTCCCCCGAGGGACACACGGGAGACAGGTATGGAGGTCCAGGAGCCAGAAGGCTTCACTGGGTTCCAGCTGAGCGCTGTCTGGGAAGGGGCTGGGTTGCACATAGACACTTGGAGCAGAGGGTCAGGGACAAAAGCATGGAACCAAATGGTGCCCACGAATCCGAGTCCAGTGGCTTTGGGGAGGTGGCCAACGTGAGGAGGGCTGCGGCCCAGGAAGGAAGGACAGACGGGCAGGAGTCATGTGGACACTGGCATTCACACAGGATGGGCCTAAGGTTTTAGCCTGGCCACCCTGACAGGGAAGACCAGAGGGCACAGACCTGCGCAGGGAAATCCTTCCCAGTGTGACCCGTGGGCCTGAGGCTCAGAGAGAGAGCCAGCACCCATGGATACGGAACACAGCAGGGGTGGGGGATGGGGTGCAGCAGGGTGGCT